GTGGTTCAGAGGTGGTGTAATCCTCCTAGTCCACTCTTCTCCTTTCACTCCAAGGAGGAAATTCACTATCTCGTTCACCCAGATACAAATAGTGAATCAAGTGCACACAGGCACTTCCCGAGTGTTTTGCACACAGCTACACTCAATCCCGAGTATTTCGCACAAAGCTATACTCCCGAGTATCTCGCACAAAGCTATACTCCTACACCAACTAAGTGTCTTGCACCCAGCTACACTTAGCACCACCGAGCGTCTCGCACACAGCTACACTCAGCAACCACGAGTGTCTCGCACAAAGCTACACGCACGAGTGTCTCGCACAAAGCTACACTCAACAGGGTAGTGTCTTGCACAAAGCTACACTCAACCCTCTTTCTACACACAGTAGAGGTAAGTTTAAGAGAAAACAAATTTCTCTTCTAATGACTTGAAGAATCTCTCGTGTAAGCTCAAGATGGATATTTTCGAATTTTGCTTTTCTTTGTATTGCCTTGCCTTCTCTTTTTCGTGTATTGCACTCTCTTTTTCTCTGCTTCATGTCTTCAAGTCTTCTTGGTATATATAGCTGAAGAAGCTATATTACCGTTGTAGCATCAGTTGATCTTGATCGTTCATTTTGATCAGCTACACATTATTGCCAACTTGCATTGCGGTGATTTAATGCAAGAGATGGGCTTCCACAGTGATTTTGAAAATCCTCACCTGACAAAACTTCAAAGTCGTATATGTCGGCTCATCAGCTAAATCTTCTCCGAAAAATAATTACCTTATCTTGACGGATTCAAAATGATGAAATCTTCAAAAAGATTTTCTGCTGATTCTTGCTTGAGTAAAAATTATATCTCCGTCCATTTCTTCTTCTGAAGTGATATGAGATTCATAGCAAGAGATATAAATGAGAAAGAAGATGTGTAGAAGAATTCACGTGCATCTTCCTTATCATGTCCACAAGCTTCCAAACTTGTAGTCAACTTAGCATGACATGTGTCCACATTGTAGCATGCACCCAACAAGTGTCATCTTTAAAAAATATACTTCCAATGAGATTTAAACACAATCCCAATCAGATCTGTTTTCTAAGCTCGTACCACTATGCCATATTAACTCATTAGTTAATATTTCTGGATTTAATCTTTATTCCCAGAATGGCTTTAGTAGAATTTCACATTAATTCGTAGAATAAACCGAGTCTAGTAGAATTTCACATTAATTCGTAAAATAAACCGAGTCTGCCCCTTGGTCGTCCCCTTCAGCCCCTTCGTCGTCCCCTCTTTATCTCTTACATAAAAATGTAGAGATTGAGTCTAGAACTTGTGACATTTGACTTTAGTCACCTTGTTCCTTATCCACTTCACCGCTTCATCCTTTAGTGTCTTCTAAGGTAAATAAATCTCAAATAGTAACATTCTGGATAAGTATATTTTGCTAAGAATTCGTAGACTTTTATGGCTTGACTTGGGACTTAGGCTAATAGACAACTAGACTCAAAATAAAATATGGGGGTTCTAAAAATACAAATTTGGCTCATCAAAATTATTACATTTTATTCCTAACATTTTCAAAGCTCGATGTTCACAATTTTAGAGCTCTATGTTCATAATTTTATCATTATATGTTCATAATTGTAAGTTCATAATGTCAGAGCTCTGTGTTCATAATTTTATAACTTACATTCATAATTCCATAACTGTACATTCATAATCTCATAACTGTACATTCATAATGGCACAAACGAATAACGCCGTTAACGGCAAGACAAAATCAAAATTTTTTTTAACTGAAATGACGCGTTTTCCCTGAAAACGATGTCGTTTTGGACTCGTGTCCACAATGCATTGTGGACACGAGTCCACTACATAATTTGCGGAGGATAATGCCCTAACATGCTGTTTAGAGCATCCTCAATAGTTGGGAATTTTTTTCTAGATTTTTGTGGGTCCCAACATCCACCTCATCATCCACTATCTCATTCAATTTCAAAAACTATTCTTCCCATTAGTTTTAAATTTTTTCATAATTTTTGGTGGACCCACCATTTTACTCTATATATTTTAATGATTTCTTTATCTATTATCATTGTGAAAAATTATAATTATAAATTTGATAACAATATTCTTAATAATAATACTATTGATAATTAAAAACTTTAATTTAATTAATAAATATAAATTTAATAACAATAATATATTTAAAAAATTAAATAACATTATATTAATAATTAAAAAAATAAAAAATAATAATGTTACAAAGTTAAATTAAAAAATTTTTAAAAAAAATTAAAAAGCAAGAAGTTGGCGGTTCAAATGCAACGGCCAGAATAATTTTATAATGAAATTCAAAAAAAAAAAAAAAAAAGTCTTCAATTGAGAGTGGCCGCTAGCTGGCGACCACACTCAATTGCTTATGCAGTGAGACGCAAACACGCGTCTCACTTTATCTTTTTTTTTTTTTTTTTTTTTTTTTTTTTTTTTTTTTTTTTTTTTAAGTCTGACAAAATCTCCTCCTTGCAGGAGGAACTCACCTGCAACAATTTCTAATCCATACTTGTGAAAAGCATTCAAGTATAATTCCCTAATGGGGATGCTCTTAGAACAATATGTCTAATAAAATTTTGAAGGACAATAATAAGGGAAAATTTATATTATGCGTACCATTTACTCTTATTCCTTAATTAACGTGACAACAAAAATTTGACTATACATTTTTCTATTTATTTATTTTGAAATTCTCAAAGAATCAATGCTTCTACTACCGATGTTAAATATTGTGACCATCCATTTAGAATGATAATAGAAGCAGGGGCGGATCCACTGTGGGGACAGCTGCCCCAATTTATTTATTTATTTTTATTGCCCTAAGTTATACCAGTCGACCTCCATCCCAACGGTCAACACACTAAGTGATAGGAGACTAGCCAAATGATTTGCTCCATTCACATGGACGGGGATCGAACCTCCAACCTCATGCTTAAGGGACTATATATGTATACATATATGTATATGTATACATATATAGCATAAAATATAATATAAAATCCATAATTATGTTAAAAATATTAATAGTTTGAGTAGCTTAGTTGGTTGAACTTCTAATTTTATGTTATAAAAGACTTATGTCATGGGTTCAAATCTCATTAGCAACACTTTTAATTATCTTCTCTCTTTCATTTCTTCACAAGATAAATTAAATATTTTTAGACTACTTTTTATGAATCATTTAATTAACAAATTAAATGCTCTTTTAGTCTAGTTTTTATAAATCATTTAGTTAATGTAGTATACAAGTTTATAATATACTTTATTGTATTCGAATTAATTTAGAAAAATCGATCTAACTAAAATAAATTAAAATTTAAAAGTATTTATGAATATATTGTTATTTAAATTATTTTATCTAATTGATTATGTTTCATATTTTCTCATAAATATATTGTAATTTATAATGTATGTTGTATTTTAACCTTATTATGGTTGTTTGATATTTTGTCATTGACATTTCTAACGTCATTTAATATTTGCCTCCACTCAGATGATTTTTTGAATCTGTTACTGAATAGAGGTAACATCACATTATATAGTGGTTGATCTGTGTACTTTATTTAATTTTCATTTTTTAAAGGAGATAGTTTATTTGTTCTCTTCCATCCTAATGCCCAATCAATGAGACCACGTGAAAAAAGAATCTCAAATTATATTATGGAATAAGGTTCACCTTGTATGATGAGGTAAATTATTGTGTAGATAACGTTCCAAAATGACGTCATTTTGATATAAACAAAAAAATTGATCTACGCGCGTGTTAGAATAATGAATATTTTAGAATAAGATAATATATTTTAAGAATAGTAGTCAAATAGGCTACTCAACTGCACACCACATTGCAATTGGACCAGCGAACTAAAAAAAAAACAAAAAAAAACAAAAAAAAAAAAAAACAAAAAAAAAAAGTGCAATTGAGTCCCTAAACTATGCAAATACATTCAATTCAACCCAAAATGACTTGTTTTACCTAAATACATGCTAACGTGTCGAATATTAATTTAAAAATAATTTTTAAAATCATTTTAATTAAAATAATTATTTTAATGAAGATGGATGGATTAGAGGAAAAAAATTACAAGAGGTACCAAGCAAGCAGGCAGCAGCACAACACGTGTCAATTCTAGTTAGAAAAACTCGTCGTTTGGTGGCGCCGACAGTAACGACTCTGCATAAGACTTCGTCCACGCTATTAGTTCAGGTCCATTTCTCATGGAAGAAATCTCATTAGATTTATAGTTGAAAAAACACCATATCTATCCCAGAAGAAATCTCAATAGCTTTATAGGAAAAATGATACGTAATTTGAGATGAACGTGACCCAATTTCAATACATACTCTGAGTTTCCCAAATTAAACATTCACTATTTATACAACATGGCAGCATTTACTGTGCTAATTTGGTTTATGATCATCAGCGGCAGAGCGTTTCAGGAAACGACAGCCAGCGGTGGATGGGCAAAGCCAGGTTGCCAAGAGAAATGCGGAAACTTGACAATTCCATACCCATTTGGGATCGAAAAAGCTGGGACTGGGTGCTATCTGGATGAAGCATTTCGAGTGGAGTGCGACAATTCAACCCAGGTTGAGGTTGCCAAGCTGCCATATGTAATTGGAACCACCATTCTCGACATCTCATCCGACACCATCACCGTTATGGGCATAGCAATGCCCATGCTCTATAGCAACACCTCCGGGAAAAACCTGGTAGGAGATGTCTCCTCCGGGTTTTTAGAGCCATATTTCAGCTTCTCATATACCATGAACAAGTTCGTGGCAGTAGGGTGTGATATATTCGCATACTTGTGGGATTCCGGCAATGGAGACATCATAATCGGGTGTGCATCGCTTTGTGAAAGTAGCAGGAGCAGTGTGCCCGATTTCTCGTCCTTGTCATCATGTTCTGGCAATGGCTGCTGCCAAACACCCATCCAGAAAAGGCTAGGCAACTTTTCCGGGGCAGTTGTCACCATGAACACGAAAGGCAGCGCTTGGGCTAGCAACCAGTGCAGCTATATTGTGATAGTTGAGAAGAGCTTTGACAAGTTTGATGAGTATAACTTCTCTGACTGCACTGCAAAGTATGGTACACCAATGGTGCTTGACTGGTCAGTTGGAAATCTCAGTTGTCGCAATGCAAAAAACAGCATATGTGGCAACAATACTTACTGTGAAAACTCAGCTCGCGGTGTAGGATATCTGTGCCGCTGCTCTCCAGGTTATCAAGGAAACCCATACTTACCTCATGGATGCCAAGGTAATTACTCCCTCCGTCTAGTTCGGTTAACCAGGCTTGCCTGAAGTTATTTGAATTCAATTTTTCATAATATTGTGTTTAGTATTAGTACATAAAATTTTAGAGTTAATGTCATTTGGGGTCCCCTGTATAGTGGTTTTGCCACATTTAATCAAACTTTCAAGTTAACCACATGCGGTCTTTAAACTTACAAATTTTAACAAGTCGTGATCCTTCATTCTGTTAGTTTTAGCCAGGCAATGTCGCCCTTTTAGGAGGACCACGACTAGTTAATGTTTGAAAGTTGAAAGACCACAATTAGTTAAAATTTAAAAGTTTAAGACTAAATGTGCCTGAATCAGTATACTCGGAGGACCCTAGATGACATTAACTCATAGAAACCATATTAAAAGTACTATAAAACACAAAAAATCAAATTTAAAAATAATTAAAAAAATACTAAAAAAAATAAGCAAAGAAGAAAGAGTTGGTTTGACTAATAAATAGTAAACATGACAAGTAAAATAGGATAAAAGGAGTATTAAATATATCTTCTCTTCCTTTACTGAAAGATAGAATCCCTGTTCTCTAATCTCTGCTTTAAGCCTTACATATCATTTAATTGAGAAACTGGCACACAAACTTAATGAAGTGATGACATAATTATGTTAACATTTGCCTAAATGCAATGCAAATTTACACTAGTCACTTTTAAGAGAGAATATGCTAAGTAATGATTCTCTTTTTATTGACTGTGAAGATATTGACGAGTGTGAAACCCAGAAGGAGAACATGTGCCCAAACAACGCAGATTGTGTTAATATTCCAGGCAGCTACTATTGCAGCTGTCGACAAGGCTACCGCAGTGATTTAAGTAAATCCAGTCCACATGGATACACTTGCATACCTGACCATGAAAGGCGTATGTTGGTCAAGCTAATTTGTTTAGGTATGGAAATAATAAATCTTTAGAAGCCACAACACAATATTGCCTTAAGTCCATAAATTAATGAATGTAGTGTTTCCTCAACAGGTGTTGGAATGGGCATAAGTGTTATATTACTTGCAGCCATTGGATTCTGGCTTAATCGTAAGTTAAAAAGGAGGAAACTTGAGAAAGCCAAAGAAAGGTTCTTCAAGAGGAATGGAGGCTTCTTATTGCAAAAACAAATGTCTTCTTGTAACAGAGGAAGTGTATTAGAAATTAAAATTTTCAAGACAGAAGAACTAGAGAAAGCAACAGACAATTTCAATCAAAGTCGAATTCTTGGGAAAGGTGGACTGGGTACAGTATACAAAGGCATGTTATCGGATGGGTGCATAGTAGCCGTGAAGAGATCTAACAAGGTAGACGAAGGTCAGGTCGGTCAGTTTATCAATGAGATCTTCATCGTCTCCCAAATAAATCACAGGCACATTGTGAAAGTCTTGGGCTGTTGTTTGGAAACTGAAGTTCCATTAATTGTATATGAATACATATCCAATGGAACCCTTTCACAGCATCTTAATAATGTTCCTAGTACTTCTTCACCACTGTCCTGGACACGTCGTTTGCAGATTGCTGCAGAAGTAGCAGGGGCATTAGCCTATTTGCATTCATATGCTTCTACTGCCATCTTTCATAGAGACGTCAAGTCAAGCAACATACTTCTAGATGAAAAATATAGGGCAGTGGTCTCAGATTTTGGACTCTCAAGGGCAGTGTCTATTGATAAAACACATTTAACAACGTTAGTTGGGGGCACAATTGGCTACTTAGATCCTGAATACTTCCGCTCAGGACAGCTAAATGATAAGAGCGACGTCTACGCATTTGGGATTGTCCTCGCGGAAATACTGACAGGACAAAAGGTCGTCTCTCCCAATAAATCTGATGAAGGATTGGCGATTCGCTTTAAGACATCTTTGAAGCAAAAAGATACACTGCTTGAAATTCTAGACCATCCAGTCGCAAATGAAGGTGGAGAAGAAATCTTTGCTGTTGCAAGGCTTGCCAAGAGATGCATAAAGCTAAACGCTAGAAAAAGGCCATGCATGAAAGAAGTAGCAGCTGAACTTGAACAATTGGCAAGGACTAATGGAGAAGATTTGGAAAATGATTGTGAAGACAACTACTTCTCATCAGGTGACACAAGTGATGGTTAAATGCCCTAACCATGAGTATATAAAACAAATACTTGTCTATATAACCTTTTTCATTTCTTTATTTTCTTATTTATTATCAATTAAATGCCCTAACCATGAGTATATATCACATTATTAGCTTGATCACTGCAATGTTTAGTACAGTATGCATTTTTGCTTTTTTTATGAATACATTATTGCTACATTCTGTGTCTATGTGAGTAATGTATGATATTCTATATTGAAAATAAACATGTATAACATATGTAAAACTTCATTTTTCTAGGAGCCTTCAGACTTTTCGATAGACTATTTGGGTATCGCATGGTTCATATCTAGTTATTATCAATTATGCCTTTTGATCAGGCCAACTGAATGATAAGAGTGATGCCTATTTTTATTTCTTGGTGAAACCTCATGTCAATGGGCAATGTATAGAAGGTATAGGCTTGCCTATCTTGGCTCAAGGAAGAATATCGACGGACAGATATAGAAGGGAAAAACTACTTAATGAATGAAAAAGAAGGATTGGTATTTTCTGGGAGTTTCCGTCTCCTTTTGACTTAATTCAGCATTAATTAATTTTATTAGCACAGAAATCTCCTTTATATACGAGGATTACACAGAGTCAATAAAACATAAAAAGGGAAGGAGAATCATCAAGGCTCCTTACCAAAATTATTAGACACTTGCGAAGGAAATAAATCAAATTCAAATAACAATCAATCAAAAGATATTTTGGAATAAATCATTCTCCTGAATCTGCATTGATTTCCTGTATCGCATCACCTATGCATTCTGGTTTTGTTCTCACAGAAATACTAATAGGATAAAAGGTCATCTCTTCTAATAAATCTAATGAAGGATTGATAATTCTCTTTAGGACACCATTGAACTGAAAAAGTGCACAGTTTTAAATTCCAGACCAGGCAGTTGCAAATGAAGGTGGAGAAGAAGAAACCTTTGCTGTTTCTAAGCTTGCCAAGATATGAATAAAGCTAAATCCCAGAAAAGGGCAACACATGAAATAGCAGCTAAACTTATGTGATTGACACAGACAAAAGGAGAAGATTTATAGTCAAATGTAATGTAGCTACAACTTGGACACAATTACAGGCAACAATCCAGAGCAGAAGCATTTATGATTTATCAACAGTATTGGTTGACAAATAATTTTATTGCCTCTTTGATTTTCTTAGATTCCAAGTTTCTTGATAGGTTTAAGCAATAACTTCTTAGTTCTCTTTCTTGTATGAGATAAAGATTAAATCCTTGTTTGTGGCCTTTTTCCTTTCTTCATTTGCTTTCTTTATTTGTTATAACAAAACTATCCTGACTATGATTACAAATGACATTAGGCATTGCAATGTTTAGTACAGTGTGTGAGTACATTTGCTTTTAATGGACACGTCATTGCTAGAATACAGTCAATACACACGCAGTCTTTGGTATCTCATATCCTATAAATGAAAGGCTTATTTCTATCAAGTTAAAATCAATCTATCTTTATGTTATCTCTTATTCTACTCTCATCTCTTGCTAAATGAGCTTTTCCCTAACTGCTGGACCTTACAACTTTTTATTACTTAAACATCTACAATATTTCCGTGTAATTAATAAAAATTCTGATCAATTTGTATTGTACTAGTCTCTTTTTTGGGGGGGTTAGATCACGAGGTGTCATGAGCAGCCCTAACTGTAGGAGACACCTTTAAGCAAAGTGCTGGCCATATTGGTTTTTCCATATGAGAGGGGATTTAAACTCCTGACCTCTCTTAAGGGATGAGAGTGCAAGGCCACTCACGCCAACCAAGCTGGTTTCTAGCCTCCATATTTGAAATCACGTAATACTACCCGATCTTGTATCACACTAAATTTAAGATTTTAACCCTATGCTAAAGTACTCTCATAACACATTCGTTCATAAATTTCTTAATTCTTACCCTGTACTATCAACAATGTATCATTCAACAATCTAAAAGACATCACTTTATTCATAAATTTCTTACATTGTACTATCAACAGTGTATCATTCAACAAAGATTCAAACATTTATTCAATCATAAATTTCTTACACTGTATTATCAAAAATGAAAAATGTATCACTCAACAATCAACAATCTGAAACACATCACTTTAGTCGTAAATTTCTTAAACTGTACTATCAACAGTGTATCATTCAGCAAAGATTCAAAGATTACCAAAACATAAAGATTTATAAGCACAGAAGCATTCGAGACAAATATCAACAATATCTCATGTGAAATACTCAATAATAAGTATAGAGTATAGAGTACTGAACTGGAAGCACCCATTGGCCTGAAATCATGGTCGCCCAAAAGAGCCAAAACCTAGTAGACCACCGCCACCTGCGCAGCCAATGGAACCTCATAATTAGTCATTATCTCCACCAAAATTAATCAGCAGGACAAATATCAGTGCTTTACGACATACTTATGTAAATTTATTGGCAGTTCCTAAGGGAATCGTAAACTCCCATTTCCACAGAATTGAAAAGAGCAGAGGAGCTTCTGAATTTGGAGATTCCAAGATGAACAAACTGGAGGAGAAAGACTAACTTGAATCGAATTGAGGGAACAAAGATTGAAGAGTTAACGTGTAACAAGAAGCGGAGAGATATAAATGAAAAAGTGGCGGGAGAGTGTGATGACCTTAGAAGATGAAACCAATGATTTGGGAATCAAGAGAGGAAGGCAGAAGGAGAATGAACAAAATAATTCTAAGTAAAGGAAGTCGGGGACCAAAACGACACCGTTTGAAGGCAGCTGTTAGGAGCCGTTATCTCACTTAACCAAACGGCGACGTCGGATGCGTTGGTTGGGCGTTTTTTTAAATAAAGCACAAAACGTCGTCGCTTGGAGTATAGCCGTTGGAAGAGGATGCCACACGACGTCGTTTCAAAGCTAGCTTGCTGAGTGGGATTGCAGCTGAGAAAACGGAAGTTTGTTATGCTATTTTGTTTGTATTAGCCTAAATATATAGATATTTTTCTGCTTTTGGATGTTTTTTTATGCTTATGCTTTTATGAAATCACAAACCCTAGCTTCTTTTCCCTAAAATTCTTCTCTCTTCTTCCTTATCTCTTCTGGAACTTGTGGCTTGTTTTTTTTGGATTTTGTTTTGAAAATTCAGGCTGTGACATTTTGGTATCAGAGCTCCTTTGCTGGGCAAAAATGGTGACTAATGATGAGAGGTTCCGAGCTTTGCAGGAGAAACAAGCTGAGTTTGAAGCAAGGTTGGAGGCAAGTAATCTTGAGCAGAATACAAGGATTACTGCTGGTCAACAGAGAATGGAAGACTCTATCTTGGAGCTTAGAGCTCACATGGTGGAATGGAAGGACGAGATCATGGAGTTGCTGAGATTGAACATGCCTCCTCCCCCTCCCATGGAACAACCTTCAGTCCATGGACAACCCCCACCTACTCAGCAGAGCCCAGGTGAAGGCAGTGTAGATCCTGGAAGAAGATCAGGAAAGGAGCCTGCTGGTGGTGAACAAGTGGAGGTGGAAGATGACACTGATGGTGAGTATGGTCTACCAGAACACCCTTATGGTTTCCAGGGACCCACTGGAAATGCAGCTAGGCCTGGGATGGCTAGGAGAGTGCACTTTGGGGCAAGGAATGGCCAAAACAATCCAGGAGGAGAGCTGGGAATGAGGTATAAACATGAGTTTCCATCTTTTGATTATGATAATCCAAGGCTGTGGGTGGTTAGGTGTGAGAGGTTTTTTATGTTGGCTAGGATCCCTAGAGATGAGATCATGCATGTTTTATGTGTAAACTTAACTGGCAAGGTGGCTATGTGGTATGAGGCATATCTCAATGGTTTAAGGGAAGGGTTTCACTGGCCTAACTTTGCTAATGCAGTAGTTAAGAGGTTTTGTGGGAGTAACATTGATGTAATGGAGGAATTCTCTAATTTTAAGCAATGGGGTAATGTAGTGGACTTTTCTGACAAATTTGAGGAGTACAAAGGCTTGTTAATACAGATTTATCCATACTTGACTGATCAATATTTCTTGGATAGCTATGTGGTGAGATTAAAGCAACAACTGAGGTGTTTTGTGAGAACATCTAAGCCTAACAGTTTGGAGGATGCCATTTGGTTGGCTAGGCAATTTGAGAAGGGCTTGAAGGTGAGTGATCCACAGAAAACTAGTTTCATATCCACCCAAAAACCAACCTACACTACCCAAAGAACCCAAGCCAATTCCAGAACCTACAACCCAAAGTCAAATGAACCAAACAGAACCCAAATCAGCCAGAACACACCTAAAACCACACATTCCAACACCTTGCAATCTAATGCCAGGACACCTGAGATCAACAGATTCAGGGACCAACTCAGAGAACAAAATAAATGTTTTAGGTGCTTTGAACCATGGAATCCTGGACATAAATGTAAAGGCCCTACTTTCAACATTATTGAGGGCCAAGAATCACCTGAGAATGGATCAGAAAGTGAGGAGGAACCCAATGAGAGTTCTGAGCCTATAACATCCCTAGAATCAGAAGAAGTTGAAGTAACTATGAATGCTGTGATTGGTGGTGAAGGATTCAATACCATTAAGCTGTGGGGCACAATAAATAAGCAACCTGTTACTATATTGGTAGATAGTGGAAGCACTCATAGTTTTGTGGACCCAAGGATACTAGACCAGCTAAGAATTGTGGCTGACAGAGCAGAAATTCTCAGGGTTACAGTGGCCAATGGAGAGAAAATGAATTGTGAATTTATGTGCAAGGGACTGAGATGGCAGATTCAGAAGGAAGAGTTTAAAATGGACATGAGAGTCCTTAAGTTGGGAGGATGTGACATTGTTCTTGGTATGGATTGGATTGATATTTATGCTCCCATCCAATTGCATACCAGGCCACTAGGCATTTCATTTCATAAGGAGGGAAAGAAGGTTCTATTGAAGGGTTTAACCAAGAATATTAGTTTGCAACAAGCTACTAAGAAGGAGGTTAGGAGATGGCAGAAAGAAGGTGTACAAGGCTATTTGTTACAAGGATCATTGCAAGGAATCAACCCTATGGATTTGACAGAAAGAAATTTGCCTGAATTGTCTGCTCTATTGTTGGAGTATCAAAAGCTTTTTGAGGAACCAAAGATCCTTCCACCACAGAGACCATTTGATCATGAGATACCATTAGTTCCTGGAGCCAAGCCAGTTAATTCCAAGCCATATAGATACTCCTATTTGCAGAAGAACACTATTGAGAAGATGGTAGAGGAAATGATGACAGCTGGTATAATCTCACCAAGTACTTCACCTTTTGCCTCTCCTGTATTGCTGGTTCTAAAGAAGGATAATTCTTGGAGATTTTGTGTGGACTACAGGGCATTGAATTGCATCACTATCAAGAATAAATTTCCCATACTACTGATAGAAGATCTTTTTTCAGAATTGGCACTTGCTAAGGTCTTCACCAAGTTAGATCTAAGGGCTGGGTATCATCAGGTGAGGATGAAGCAAGGAGAAGAGTTTAAAACAGCTTTCAGAACCCATCAAGGCTTATACGAATTCAAGGTTATGCCCTTTGGCCTTACTAATGCACCAGCAACATTTCAAGCCTTGATGAATCATGTGTTTAAGCCACTAATCAGGAAATCTGTACTGGTGTTTTTTGATGATATTTTAGTTTACAGTCCTTCTATGGAGAGTCACTGGCAGCACCTAAGGGAAGTGTTAGAAATCATGAAGAATAATCAACTACTGGCTAAGCTGAGTAAGTGTTCATTTGCAAGGAAGGAAGTGGAATACTTAGGCCACATTATTTCTGAGAGAGGGTTGCAGACTGACCCTGATAAATTGGTTGCTGTGAGGGCATGGCCAAGACCAAACAACATTAGGGAATTGAGGGGATTCCTTGGTCTCACAGGCTACTACAGGAGATTTATCAAATCTTATGGTACTATAAGTAGACCCCTCACTGACCTATTGAAAAAGGATGCCTTCAAGTGGAGTGTGGAATCAGATGAGGCCTTTGAACTTCTTAAGGATGCTCTATGCTCAGCTCCAGTATTGGCATTGCCTGATTTCAATAAAAAGTTTGTGGTTGAATCTGATGCTTGTCATAAGGGAATGGGAGCAATATTAATGCAAGAAGGGAAACCAGTGGCCTATTACAGCAAGGGATTTGGCCCAAAACACCTGGGATTATCAATCTATGAGAAAGAATACTTGTCTATCATCAATGCAATAGACAAGTGGAGACCTTACTTGTGTGGAGGGCATTTTGTGATTAAAACAGATCATCAGAGCTTACAATTTTTACTTGAACAGAAAATCACCACTGCTATGCAACAGAAAGGGCTAACCAAACTTCTAGGACTGAGTTATGAAATCCAATATAAAAAGGGCAAGGAGAATGGTGGGGCAGATGCCCTATCAAGAAGAAAGGATGTGGGGCAAGCTGAGTTCATGGCTATAACTACTGCTAAGCCATTATGGATAGAAGAAGTCCTAAAAAGTTATGAAGGAGATGAATATGCTAATAAACTGTTGACTGAGAATCTAATTGCACCAGAGGAAGGATCAAAGACTACTATCACTGAAGGATTGATCAGATATAAGGGTAGACTGTATGTGGGAGGCTCAGGTGATTTAAGAAGCAAATTGTTAGCTCAAATGCACAGCTCACCTATTGGAGGACATCCAGGACAACATGCCACTTATCATAGACTGAAACAACTGTTTTATTGGAGGGGTATGAAAGCTGAGGTAGTAGCAGCAGTCAAATCTTGTGAAGTTTGTCAGCAATGCAAAGAGGAAAATGTGGCTTACCCAGGCTTGTTGCAACCTCTCAAAATTCCTGAACAAGCTTGGCAAAGCATTTCTATGGATTTCATTGAAGGATTACCTATGTCACATGGGAAGGAAGTTATTATGGTTGTGGTGGACAGATTCTCTAAGTACAGCCACTTCATTTCACTATCACATCCATACACAGCTGAAAAAGTGGCAGAGGCATTCATGGAAAATGTTTACAAACTCCATGGGATTCCCAAAGATATAGTGAGTGACAAAGATAAAGTCTTTTTGAGCAAATTTTGGCAAACATTGTTCAAACAATTGCAAGTTAAGTTGAGTATGTCAACAGCATATCATCCACAGTCTGATGGACAAACAGAGAGAGTTAATAGATGCCTGAAAACTTATTTAAGATGCATGGTGTTCCACAAACCCAAATCATGGAGTAAATGGCTGCATTTAGCTGAACACTGGTATAACACTAATTATCACACATCCCTACAGTGTTCACCATTCCAGGCTTTGTATGGATACTTGCCCCCTACTATAGCATTTGATATGGTGACAGAAGGAGATGGGAATGAATGGTTCAAAGAGAGGGCAGTCATGGTGGCCATTCTAAGAGAGAATTTGCAGAAAGCCCAAGCAAGAATGAAACAACAAGCTGATAAAAAGAGAAGTGAAAGAAGTTTTGAAGTGGGAGATTGGGTATATTTGAAAATACAGCCCTATAGACAAGTATCAGTGGCTGTCAGAACTAACATCAAACTTACTGCCAGGTTTTATGGTCCTTACAAGATCACAGCTAAGGTGGGAAGGGTTGCTTATAGGCTGGATTTACCCCCTGAGGCTGCTATTCACCCAGTGTTTCATGTGT